AGAGAGAGAGAGAGAGAGAGAGAGAGAGAGAACGAGAGACTCTTTGTTAATAACCAAGCAAAATCCGGATACGTTAGTGCACCTGTTCTGCAATTAATAATATGTTATGAACCGCCTCGGTAAATGGGTTAGAACCACTTCGACAAACGGATTAGAGAACCACTTGAACAAATGGGAGCACCCACTTCGGCAAACGGGTTAGGAAAGAGAGTTTAAGAGTCTGAATTCGGACAATGTTTCATTGAGAATTATCCGGTTATCCGTATAGGTTATCCGGATTTTACCCACCACTAGAATCAGATGTGGTACAAAGGAGAGTCTTATGGACCCGGGGAGCAGAGAGGGTGGGGGTTGGGGTGGGGATGGGTGTTTATGTAGGCGGGGGGTAAGCAAGAGATGGGAGGGGTGTGGGTTAGTAACGAGGAGGAGGGGTATGGAGGAGAGGGTTGTCGTAGGGAGGGGTGTAATGGGGGTAATAAGGAGAGGGGAGGTGTGGATAGAAGTGGGTAAGGAGGAGAAAGGAGGTGTGGGGAGGAGTGGGTATGGAGGAGAGAGGAGGTGTGGGGAGGAGTGGGTATGGAGGAGAGAGGAGGTGTGGGGAGGAGTGGGTATGGAGGAGAAAGGAGGTGTGGGGAGGAGTGGATATGAAGGAGAGAGGAGGTGTGGGGAGGAGTGGGTAAGGAGGAGAGGGGAGGTGTGGGTAAGGAGGAGAGGGGCGGAGTGGGGAGGAGTGGATAAGGAGGAGAAAGGAGGTGTAAGGAGGAGTAGGTAAGGAGGAGAGAGGTGTGGGAAGGGGTAAGAAGGAAAGGGGAGGTGTGGGGAGGGGGTGTAGAGGGGTAAGAAGATGAGGTGAGGAGAGGGGAGGAGTGTAGTGTAGAAGAATGAGGATTTGAGAGATGTAAAGGGGGAGGGCAGAGAGGTGAGGGGATGGGAGGGCGATGAGGAGGGGGGATGTGATTTAGGGGGTGTAGAAAGATATGGTAGCGTGAGATGGGAGGGTTTACGGCTAGTGAAAGGGATAGAGAGAAGGATGTGGAGAGAGACAAGATTTTGATCTGCTAGCTATGCAAACAGACAGAGAACGGGTAATAATTGTATAAGGGAAAGGAAGGTATAGGTGGGAATCAGGAGAGATTTAAAGAAGAAGAAGAAGAAGAAGAAGAAGAAGAAGAAGAAGAAGAAGAAGAAGAA